AAAGGAAGCTATTTTTTTAGGAATAATGTTTGCTCATTATCTTACCTTCTTACCACATATTAAATATCTGAAAGCTACATGTCTGAAGGCACTGGGTTTATTGAAAGTTGTTTCTAATTCCAAGAGGGGAGGGGACCAGTCAACCCTTCTTCACTTATATAGATGACTCATCCGTTCTAAACTAGACTATGGCTCCATCATCTACAGTGGAACCTGTAAAAGCAACCTTAAACTTTTAGATTCTATTCACCATCAAGGTCTAAGACTCTGTCTTAAATCTTACCGAATCTCCCCTATTGACAGTGTGTACATTGAGGCCGATGAGCCATCTCCAAAACAGCGCCGTATAAAATTATCATAACAATACATAACGGAATTATATTCAAATGAGTCAAATTCAGCTTACAACTGCGTTTTTAATCCTCTTTATGGGGATCTTTTTAATAAGACGCCATCCCTTATTCCACCACTAGGAATCAGAATTAAACCTTTCATTTCTGATGCTAATATCGAACTCCAAAATACAACTCCTTTCCGCCTGTTGTCTTCTCCCCCTTGGCAATTGGTGAAGCCACAGGTGGATCTTACTTTATCAAAGCTAAAAAACCCTGAAACGAATCAACTACATTTTCAACAGGAGGACAACCAGGTAGGAAGCGAATATAACACTTACAAATCTATATTTACAGATGGATCCAAGGATGGTGGTGCTGTTGCCAGTGCCAATACCATTGGATCCAAAACTTAATCAATTACATAACTAGATAATTCTTTCATTTTTACAGCTGAATCAAAGGCCATTTTAACTGCTCTAGAATATATAAATAAATAATTAAAACATAAAAAATTCATTATGTTTTCGGACTTGCTATCCTGTCTTCAGGCAATTCAAAATACTTCGTGTCAACATCCAGTTTTACTTAACATCACCGTCTTTTGTTGGTTACCCAGCCATGTTGCGGATCCGGGGTTGAATAGGTCTTCATCGACCTATGCTTGCCGTAAAAGGCGAAAATGCTTGTCGTGAGAGGCGACTAACGGATTGTCTGGTCCAGACTCGAATATTTACAGACCGCCGTCATATAGCTGGACTATTGCTGAGTGCGGCGTAAAACAACAAACAAACAAACAACAGCCATGTTAGGATCGTTGGTAACATAATGGCTGATGCTGCTGCAAAGGCAGCACTCAACAAATCTTTGACACCACTTCTCATACCCAAAGGCCCATGAAGATCCGGGTAGAATAGGTCTTCAGCAACCCATGCTTGCCGTAAAGGGCGACTATGCTTGTTGTAAGAGGCGACTAACGGGATCGGGTGGTCAGGCTCGCTGACTTGGTTGATACATGTCATTGATCGCAATTGCGTGGATCGATGCTCATGATATCAATCACTGGATTGTCTGTTCCAGACTCGATTATTTACAGACCGCCGTCGTATAGCTTGAATATTGCTGGATGCGGCGTTAAACAACACACAAGAAAAACAACCAGCAAGGGACAAGAAATGCTTCTTCGGATTGTCCTTGTTCAATTGATATGCCAGATGAGCATGATTTAAAAATGTCCCAAACAGATAGTGAAAACTACTAATTTACATAATTAAACTGTGCAAGATATATCATGTTAACTTTAATTTAAAACACCAGTCAGGGAAAGAAACTGAATGCATTCAATTCGAAACGGTTCACCAATGACACATCCCCCAGAGATCGTCATGCTCCGTCTGATACAGAGGTGCCTTTCATATGGGGAATACACAAGCATTTGGTCCAACGAAAGAAGAGAGTCTTAAATATTGATACACGTCCAAAGAACAACTGTGTGATACATAATGCTGTTTGTGAAGACGTTTTCAATATTTAATACATTCTTCAGTCATTTTAAGGCAGTCTCTCTCGGGATTGGTCTCGCGAGAAAATCAACAAACATACTTGTCCTTCTTTTGTCAGCTTACGGGTCGGTTTCATGCCCCAAGAGAGGCTTGAACTGCTAATTTGTTGCTAGCTCGGATTCTGGTCACGCGAGAGTAGATGAGATACGACAGAATTTTTTAGTTCGGGTAATGTGGACAGGTGCACCTATTTCAAACATTCCTGACGGGTGAATAAGTTCGGTGAACCAATTCTATTTTGGACGAACATAACGTGAGGGTTACTCCTCGCTAACGCAAAAGGTTGAAATAATATTTAAGTGACTGAATTTTGACATACGCCGCATTTTATCCCCCTGCCTGTAAATAATGGAACTCGGGTTGGATGGAGAGCATGCAGAAGCCACGCCGTCGGGGTATGATGGTGAGGTGAGGTGAAATGGGGTTTAACGTCGCGTCCAAGATTATTGCACTTATATAGCGACATGCATGCACGTGTATGTGTGTGTGTGTGTGTGGCTGCTTGTACTAGTTCGGACTAATACCGATTTATAGTGCTAGCTCACTGAGATACCATGACGCAGTTTAACATGAATACCCCACTCCGTATACTGACTCCGAGCCGACCAGTCCTTGTTTTAGCCCCTTAATGCCGAGCGCCAGACAGGGTAACAACAAGTACCATCTTTTAACGTCTTTTGGTATGACGCGACCGGGGATCCAGCCCCGGACTTTCCGCCCTCCGGGCGGACGCTCTACCACTAGACCACGGAGGCGGTCACTGGGGTACGATGAAACAATTAGACAGACACAATGTACCCAATTGATACTTTTGTTAATTTGTCGGTTTGTTGTTTAACTATGAAACATAGAAAAGCATTGCTAAGAGAGTAACACTTGATTAAATATTGTTTAACTATTGGAGTAACTATTGACTGGTAGAGTAACAATTGAGTGACTAGGGGGAACAATTGATTGACTGGGAGAGTAACAATTGATTGACGTGGAGTAACAATTGATTGACTAGAAGAGTAACAATTGATTGACGTTGAGTAACAATTGATTAAATAGGAGAGTAACAATTGTTTGACGTGGAGTAACAATTGTTTGACTAGGAGAGTAACAATTTGTTGACTTGGAGTGACAATTTATTGATCAACTACGATATTATCAATTAATTGACTAGGGGAGTAACAGCTTTTACGATGTCTCAGTGTTACCTATTTGTCAAACACGTAGATTTAGGCCATTCAAAAGTGTAGATTAGGTTAAGAAAATAATATCGAGTCTCGATTATCTGCCGAAACAGATTCCACTGGGCGTTAAAATAAAAACGAGGTGGAAATCATATGAATTGATCACTGAAAAATCAGCGAAGACAACAGGTGTTCGCGAAAAGGATAAGCTTGTCCTGCTCTTCTGGTAGAACCCGCCGCTCACACAATGCGCGCAGAAAAGTCTAACGGCGCACAGCGCGTTTGTTGAAATCAAAAAGCTATGCTAACACTGTGGTATTAACATTTCAACATAGATATCGAGGTACCATACAGCTTGGAGATTTGTTATTGATCCTTACTAAGAAATGTATGGCGTTGATACAGCACAACATTATAGAAGCTGCATTAGCATATTTTGTGCTTCTGTCGAATGCTTTGAGAGAAGCTATGGAAAATATCATGAGAATATAGGAAGCGTGTTGAATTAACGGTGTAATTTAAAACGGATACACACACAAACACACACACACACAAGTAAGTAAGTAAGTAAGTAAGTAAGTAAGTAAGTAAGTAAGTAAGTAAGTAAGTAAGTAAGTAAGTAAGTAAGAGGCGACTAACGGGATCGGGTAGTCAGGCTCGCAGGTAAGTAAGTAAGTAAGTAAGTAAGTAAGAGGCGACTAACGGGATCGGGTAGTCAGGCTCGCGGGTAAGTAAGTAAGTAAGTAAGAGGCGACTAACGGGATCGGGTAGTCAGGCTCGCTAACTTGGTTGAAACATGTCATCGACCCCAATTGCGTGGATCGATACTCATGATGTCAATCTCTGGATTGTCTGGTCCAGACTTGATAATTTTACAGACTGTCGTCAAATAGCTTGAATATTGCAGAGTGCGGTGTTAAACCACAAAGAAACAAACAAACAAAACACCTGATATTTCACTGAAGTGAACATAACACTTTGACGGAACTATTTTCAAGAGTTACCTCCCCTCAAATTGTCTCCCTTTATCGTAAGTGTACACAAACTGTTGACTTCCTTTTTACGTTAGTTCCACACTGACAAGGCAAAATAATGACATATGGTTATTTATGGAGTTAATATCGCGTCATGCCGTTTGTTATAAACTGTAAATTTATCATTTTACTCGTCAATCGAGACTGTTCGTTTCGATAAGCTCCATTTTTGTTACTTGACCAGCGTGTATTCTTTCGCTCCCAACAGCGGTCTCGTAGTTATCAAGAATATTTTTTGTTGAAGTTAATTTTATATATATATATATGTAATATATATATATGTAATCATATCTATATGTATGGTACACAATTTTCGTGACCCTAAATATCTTTTCGTTGCTATTGTTTATATTTTTTAAGATTTCCAAACAGGAAACTACTTTTTTAGTCGCAAATACAAGGGGTGGTGAACCGTCCCTGTGTGTTAAGTAGGGAGAATAAATGGGATATTTGTTGCCACGAGTGAAAATAAGTCCATTTTTCCGTCACTCGTTGGTTGGTTGGTTTGTTGTTTAACGCCGCACTCAGCAATATTCCAGCTATATGACTGCGGTGTGTAAATAATCGAGTCTGGACCGGACACTCCAGTGATTTGGGGTCCTTTTTGCTATTAATGCCTCCTAACGGATTTCGGCACGCGTGCGCGCTTATAAAAACGTCACTCGTTGAGGGAAACATGATATTTCACTCGACACACGATGACACATAGAAGATAGCTGTGTAACAGAACATAACAAGCAGAAGATAGGTGTGTAACAGAACATAGCTGTGTAACAGAAGATAGCTGTGTAACAGAACATAACTAGCAGAACATAGCTGTGTAACAGAAGATAGCTGTGTAACAGAAGATAGCTGTGTAACAGAAGATAGCCGTGTAACAGAAAGACCTGCACCAACCTGGCATGGCTCAGATTCTACATCAGCTCGCAGACTTTTCATCCTGGGCCGGACATTTGATGGGGCGGTGGTGCCGGTCTCGGTCTTCATGTCGCACTTGTTGGAGCCGATGTCCATGCTGACGGACCTGCACTCCCTCAAGTACCAACACATGTGGGAGCACCTGTACACGGAGGACAACACTCCGGACTTCAAAGACTTCATGTCCAACGTCTCGCTCCTGTGTTGGTCGACCTTACACCCGGCTTGTAGGGTCACGGGTAGCAGGCCCGCCAACAAAAATATTACTCGGGACAAACACATTGTGATGCTTATCCAAACGGCGATACACTGGAACACATCCACCTGTATCTAAGACATCCACCTGTATGTTAGAAGCTTCTGGTGTAACTAAGGTCCCTACGAGATATGCAACTTCGTGTTTGCTTTTCCAGAAGACTATCGATCCGGCGAGTTATCCCAAGAGGAATTTTCGCTGATCATATTAAGCGTAGTTGTTCTTGGGTACCCATCCCTATATTGTTGCGGCTGGTCTGGTTAGTTATGCATGCAGTGCCTTTAATCATCAATAGTACTTATCTATATCGGTTTTCAAAGGAGCTATTTACAGTTCGGTGTGAATGGTCAGTTGTCGTCCTTCGATTGAATATATATACAGGTGCATTCAAAGTAGGGTCGTCTTGTGTTGGGCTCTTTTCCGTCATGCCATTCAAGCATTATATTGAGGCACGGTTTCATTGCATATTTAATGGATTGACAAATGAAAGCAAACCAAGCATCTTCGAATTCAAGAGGTCATTCGGCATTCATCTGATGAAGGCGCAAGAAGTAGCTCTGAAACGTCGTGACAAAGATTGGTTGGTTGGTTGGGTTGGTTGCTTTGTTGTTGTTGTTGTACGCCGCACTCAGACAAGCATAGTCGCCATTTAGAATAGGTCTTCAGCAACCCATGCTTGTCGTAAAAGGCAATTATGCTTGTCGTAAAAGGCGACTAACGGGATCGGGTGATTAGGCTCGCTGACTTGGTCATCGAACCCAATTGCGTGGATCGATGCTCATTATATTCATCACTGAATTGACCGCCGTCATATAGCTGGAATATTGCTGAGTGCGGAGTTTAACAACAAATCAACCAACCCACTGTACCAGTCCTGACTGATGCCGATTTATAGTGCTAGCTCACTTAGATACCATGCCGCAGTTTAACATGAATACCCCACTCAGTCACAGAATACTGACTCCGAGCCGACCAGTCTTTGTTTTAGTCCCTTAATGCCGAGCGCCAGACAGGGTAACAACAAGTACCAACTTTTTCAGTCTTTTTGTATGACGCGACCGGGGATCGAACCCCGAACCTTCCACTCTTCAGGCTGACGCTCTACCACTAGACCACGGAGGCGGACGACGATCTGTAATAAATGTAGTTAAGATCATAATGGTTTCTTTCGGGCATCACTCTTATCCGGAAAATCATTATATTATCTTTACACATTTACAAGCTATTACATAATGATAACCTATTTGAAAGACGCTAACATAAATGGATAAACTTTGTAAAACAGATCTTCGACGATCTTGGCCTTAGTTTCGTTTGGCAACGGCACAGTTTTCAAAGTCCAAATCATCTTTAAAATATGGTTAGGAACAATCTAAATGATATCTATTTGATATCTTCCAAAGGAGCCATGTATACCATTGATAAAAATGAATCCCTGAATTTCGAAAAAAAAATTAATATGAAGGTTAGTATTTGACGAGACCTCATATTTAGAACCTCCATAAACAATCTCCCAGAAAATGAATTTGCTTTTTAAAAGTAAAAGATTAGGAACACTTAGAAAATTATCCAAATTTTGTAAAATTATAATGCTGCTATTTAACCCCACCACTATGTCTCGAAACTGAACCCTTTAATGTTGATGCATGTCATCGTATGCCAATTGTGTGGATCAATGCCCATGATGTCAATCACTGGATTTTCTGTTCCAGACTCGATTATTTACCCGTGAAGATTCCGGGGTAGAATAGTTCTTCAGCAACCCATGCTTGCCGTAAAACGCGACTATGCTTGTCGTAAAAGGCGACTAACGGGATCGGGTGGTCGGGCTCGCTGACATCGATCCCAATTGCGTGGATCGATGCTCATGATATCAATCACTGGATTGTCTGGTCCAGACTCTATTACTTACAGACCGCCGTCATATAGCTGGAATATTGCTGAGTGCGGCGTTAAACAACAAACCACCAAACAAAATCTGAAGCCACTGCTCGGAAAATCTGTTGACATATATTGCATTTTGTGATGTTTATGTTGATGTATCAATGCTGTACCTATAATGACGATGATAGCGGCCTGAGTGTAATTACGTTCAGTCTAGTATAGTGAGTCAGTCCGGTCGATTTCATATTGAACTGCTAACGAATTAATGGTTGGTTTGTTGGTTGGTTTGTTGTTTAACGCCGCACTCAACGCCGTCATGCATCAACCTAGTCAGCGAGCCTGACCACTCGATCCCGTTAGTCGCCTCTTACGACAAGCATAGTCGCCTTCAACGGCAAGCATGGGTTGCTGAAGACCTATTCTACCCTGGCGCTTCACGGGTAACGGATTAATTAAGTTTCATCGTAGCCTTTTCACAATCACCATTGTACATACTTAGCGTTGCACGGTTAGCGTCCAGTCACGCAGAACTCATCAAAGTGTGGAAATGTTTCAATGATCAATAGACCAAAAAATAAGTAATGACCACCTGCGTTTTAACGTTGCCATTTTTTCTTACATTGGTCTCAACCTAAATGATATGAAAGTAGCAATGTGTCGGGAGAAGCACGGCATGTTTGATTTCAGTAGTCTTCTTGTATTATGATGTTTGTGTGTTTGTTTGTTTTTAACGCTGCACTCAGCAACATTTCAGCTATATGACGTTGGTCATAAATACTCGAGACTGGACCTGGCAATAAAGTGATTGAAATCATGAGCATCGATCTACGCAATTGAGATACGATGACATGCATCAACCAAGTCAGCGAGTCTGACCACCCGATCCCATAAGTCGCCTCTTTTGACAAGCATAGTCGACTTTTACTCGCCTACTTGGTTGATGCATGTCATCGATCCTAATATCGTAGATAAATGCTCATGATTTCGATCACTCACCAATAGTTCAGCTATATGACGGCGGTCTATAAATAATCAAATCTGGACCAGACAATCCACTGTTTAAAGCTGCACTCATCAATATTCCAGCTACATGTTTATGACGGCGTCTGTAAATAATCGAGTCTGGACCAGACAATCCAGTGGTTAATATCACGAGCATCAATCAGATGAAGGAACATATGATCAATTACACTGGAATGAGTCATTTGCATGTAATCAACTTGTCGTAAAAGGGATCGGTTGGTCAGGCTCGCTGACTTGGTTGATGCACGTCATCAATCCCAATTGCATGGATTGATGTTCATGATATTAATCACTGGATTGTCTGGTCCAGACTCGATTATTTACAGACCGCCGTCATATAGCTGGAATATTGCTGAGTGCGGCGTTAAAGTACAAACCAATCTGAAATCAATTGTAAGAAGAAAGAACTATTTGACGTCGGCAGGTAATATAAGATTTCCTTGAATGATAAATGAATTTATAAGATCAATAACATAATAATTGTTTTTGTGTTTGGCATTGTGTTTCCAAATAAAATGCTGAACAAAATACTACAATATGATCATTAAGCCGTTCATGAACATGTGGTTGTGTTGTGTCACAAAGACCTTGGTAACGCGTAAAATTAATAGTGAGGTAACCATATACTTTTCAACATGTAGCTGGTCTGATGCCGTCTAGTAGACCCGTGAAGATCCGGGTTAGAATAGGCCTTCAGCAACCCATGCTTGCCATAAAAGGCAACAATGCTTGTCGTGAAAGGCGACTAACGGGATCGGGTTTGTTAGACTCGCTGACTTGGTTGATGTATGTCATCGATCCCAAAAGCATGGATCGATGCTCATGTTGTCAATCACTGGATAATCTGGTCCAAAATTGATTTATTTACAGCCGTCATTTTGCTTGAATATTGCTGAGTACGGCGTTAAACAACTTGCTATCGTCGTATTATGGCCTCTTAGAATCTTGACTGACAGGGGAAACTGTTCGATTTCGATTAAAGGTGGATGTTGACATGACACGTTATCAATAGCCTATAGGACCCGTGAAGATCCGGGTTAGAATAGGTCTTCAGCAACCCTTGCTTGCCGTAAAAGGCGAATATGCTTGTCGTAAGAGGCGACTAACGGGATCGGGTGGTCAGGCTCACTGATTTGTTTGTTTGTTGTTTAACGCCGCACTCAGCCCAGGTTCGCTGACTTGGTTGATGCATGTCATTGATCCCACTTGAGTGGAGGCCCGTGAAGATCCGGGGTAGAATAGGTCTTCAGCAACCCATACTTGCCGTAAAAGGTGACTATACTTATCGTAAAAGGGGCGGTCGGGTAGCCTAGTGGTTAAAGCGTTCGCTCGTCACGCCGAAGACCCGGGTTCGATTCCCGACATGGGTACAATATGTGAAGCCCATTTCTGGTGTCCCCCGCCGTGATATTGCTGGAATATTGCAAAAAGCGACCATACTCACTCACTCACCCTCGTAAAAGGCGACTAACGGGATCGGGTGGTCAGGCTCGCTGACTTGGTTGGTGCATGGTGCATGTCATCGATCCCAATTGCGTGGGACCCGTGAAGATTCCGGGGTAGAGTAGGTCTTCAGCAACCCATGCTTGCCGTAAAAGGTGACTTTGCTTGTCGTAAAAGGCGACTAACGGGATCGGGTGCTCAGGCTCGCGGACTTGGTTGATACATGTCATCGATCCAAGTTGCGTGGATCGATGTTCATTCTGTCAATCACTGGATTGTCTGGTCCAGACTCGATTATTACGGACGGTCGTGATGTAGTTGGAATATTGCTGAGTGCGGCGTTAAACAACAAACAAACAAACAATTGCGTTTATCGATGCTCATGATGTCAATCACTGGATTGTCTGGTCCAGACTCGATTATTTACAGACCGCCGTCATATAGCTGGAATATTGCTGAGTGCGGCGTTAAACAACAAACCAACCAATTACGTGGATCGATGCTCATGATATATATCACTGTATTGTCTGGTCCAGACTCGATTATTTACAGACCGCCGTCATATAGCTGGAATATTGCTATACCTGACCACCCGATCCCGTTAAGTCGCTTCTTACGACAACCGTATAGTCGCCTTTTATTGCCTTTCTGTCCCTGACAGAACTTTTGTGATCCTAAAGTATCCTGCTATTGATATTGTTGGGTTCTATTATTCATAATACTGACAGCAGTGTCAGCATTTTGATATTTCGATTTTAATCAATTCAACTTTTTCAAAGAATCAAATTTCAGAGATCGTCTCCTTTTTCCTCTATTATCGTGACATTGTATTTGAAAAATATAATTGGCTACCGATCGTACGTGTTCCGTTACTTGAGTATGTTCAGTTGCACAAGTCTCGTAAAAAATAGATTTCAAAATCTCAGTGTCTTAAATTAAAGTATGTATCACCGAAAATTCGCAT